TCTGTTATTCTATATACATAATCTGGGTAATTTATATAATATTTTATGCAATTTTTGTTCATCATACTCATCGTGTAATATGGCTACAATTGGAGGAAATATACGAAGATATGATCTGAATTGTCAAGGGGATTGGAAGACTTGAACCTGTCCTATATGGGTTGATAAATTGAACGAAACAGACGATTGAAACCTTTCCCTGTAACCTTTGGGAATTCGATGTACATATGCGGACAGGAAAGCAAATTAAGCAAGGTTGCCTTCGTGTGAGTAGTAGAATTCTAGCATCTTCCATGTGTATAAGTAATTGAATATAAATTTGTATATGGAAATATTATGCATTGCAATATTAAAATCAAGCTGATATCAGCTTTACTATGAATTTACGGCCATAAATTTACGGGTTATAAGATTTATCAATTGCACTAATATAAATTATAATTTACAAATGAATAAACAATTAATATAATAAATTCGGTTATATCTGTATCCTTTAAATTAATTACGATTTACATCTCTAATTTAATTATAATTTAGTTTCCAAAAATAACATATCATAAATAATATTTTGTTTCAGCGTTTAAATATTGACGTACACATATACATTATAAACACAACGAATCTAAAATTAGAGAAGTGTGTCGAATATCCATTATTGATTCCTTATAGCCCTTAATACAGAGGGCTTACAAAATTTGTTAATTCTGATATCATTACTGAAGATGTTACTACGTACTTCTTATTTATTGTTGCAAAACGACAGCTCAGTCAAGTGTTGAATATTTAATAAACATTATTTTATATACACAAACATTATCTGTACTATTTTTAAATACAAAAATATAAAAATTACAGATTATGAATACCTGTAAGTGAGCAATCCAGTCCACATTCAATCAATCTCTCATTGTTTATTCGAGTAATAATTTAAGTAAGTTAGCCTGCTCATTTGCTCACCAATGCACAACGATAAACAAATAAAAGAAGTGTCGTCTTCAGCTCTTTATCCTCTTGATTGATTGAGGGAATCTGTAATTTTGACACAATCGATGGATGAAAGATACGATTCTCTTGGTAAAGGTGATTAAAGTGGAACAAAAGTAAATTAGTTTAATACAAATACAATTTGTGTAATCTGAATGAAGATATTTTACTACGAAATAAAACGTAGTTTAATTTATCAATCAAATTTTGTTTACACGAATTTAATTTCGGAAGATATCTATATTTCTATTAAAAAGTTTCTTAATAAATCTACAAATTCTATTTCTATTGATTTATGTGAATTGTTAAATACACACACAATAAAATATTTGGCGATATTATCTTTTATAGCTCGTGAATAGTTGCGAATCGATAGATGATCTCACACGTTCGTTTTTGGGTTGAATTGCGAGGCATAGAGTAAATCGATAGTGCTGATCCAAGAAGATTATTGGTCACATGCCAGGTCTTCTTCAATATGGCACTTCATATCAAACCCAGCACCTTTATCATTCCTTCGTAATCACTCGATTCTTCCATACATAATGTATAATACATACAACGATCTTACAAAAATATCTCAGCTTGTAAAACTATTTGAAAATAATGTTATTAACTATGTTTACAAGATTGTACATATCGATGTATCTCTTAGTTATTTATTATTGTTTATTCATAATTCATGTTTTGCGGCTATATCGATGCATCTCTTTGTTTATGCGATGTGAGTTTATTATATTATGTATATTGTATATAGCATTATAGCACAAGCAGATGAAAATGTCTCTGAAATTTTTGAATGATTTCGTCGCATTTAATTCAGTTGAAATAATTTAATGTACTGATTTTGCGAACATATAATTCTTGTTTTAAATTGGACAAAAGTTTAACAATTTTTTCAACAAAATTATTATGAATACGTTCGGATTTGAGTCCAGTTTATTAAATTAGAATTCTAAGGATCCTTAGCACGTAACAAAATTAAACGTTTAAAACTCTGTTTACTATCGGATTTATCCGGATTATGATCATTGCAAACTTGAATCCTATTATATTCAAACGCAACTAATTGGGATACAGGAATATTTAAGAATCTGAAATGAGAAGATTAATAAAGTAGGTCACGAAGTAATTTGTTCTATTATCATCAGTGTATAAAAATGACGATTGGAACGAAATAAACTCTAATTGTTCCAATCCAATTAAGAGCTGCAGATTGATTTGCGAATTCGAATTTGTCGATTTTTAGGCCAGACCAGGCTTATTCTGGAGTTTTAAAGTACAATAGCTGGCAGATGAATTAAAAGAACTTTAATACTTGACAAATAATTCGGTCGAAGTTCCCAAGTCTTTCTACCCTTCATTTTACGCTTACCTCCTTTTTTCTATTTCTCGATTCACCAAGAAGGAGATTGGCATTCGAGGTTCAATGATAAATGAGCTGCGCTGAATTGGAACGACCCTTCCTTGCTATTTTCTCTTCTCAGTTTTCTCTCACTTCATGAACTCCCCTCTACTTTGCTGCTTATTCCTCCGCATCCACCTTAATCTATCGGCTTGGCAGCATGCTGCACGATAATTTTGAAGCTGACACGAAACAACTTTTGCTTAATTTCTGAAGCAACATTTCTTTATTTTACTTTGATAATGATGTGACATGGATTTAATTAAAATTGTAGAACAATTTTGTTTCATAAATTTTTTGTCTTATATCCTGAGACAAATTTACTTAATAGTAATAAAATTGTTAGCTAACAATAATAAACTAATTTGTCATAAGTATCGGTTGTAGTTTTTCAGTTTTGGTGCTGTTTGAAGTTTCTGTAAGTACAAGTTTTGTTTTTATAAACAACGTAAGAAAATGCAAATATTATTAAGATTAGAATACACTAACCTGATGTTATTGAAATTTATTGAAAAATGATGCACAGTAAAGATAATTCATCTCATTTCTGGCATTCAGTCCATTTCATTTATTCAATCAATGATCAAAAGATGTATAAATAAAATTTCTTTCTAATTTCCTGTGACAATGCAAAATAATATTTTATTGAATTTTTCGTTTTTCTGAATATATGTGAAACGATGTGTCCATACGTCTTTGTTTCTATCTGTTATTTATTGTGCGGTAAGTATACATTTATGTGAATGGACTACGCGGAGCTAAGTTTCTGCAAGATATCCCAAGAGTTCCATACACATAACATGCACTATTGGTCTACGATGGAAACGCCACAAGAAATACCATTCAACCGCTTATGTATCGTGTGCAGAGACGTATCGATGCAGGCGGCTAGCTCTTTGAATACCCTACAAAACAAGTAGATTTATTATTTTTATAGTGTTCCAATTTAAATTAACCTTTGTTCCGTAAAGTCACTTCTAAATTATGATGTCATAGTTCGTTAAATTCATCTCGATGCTAGCTACTATGTTATGTTATAAAAAAAACATTTGTTAATATGTAAAAAGATAACAGTGATATTAAGCAAATCTTAAATAAATGATTTTAGGATTGAAACCGTTTAAACGACCCTTCGTCATTTGTTTATTTTTAACAACAGTGGAAGTAATTTAAACATTCGATTTAAGCATGACTGTATATATGTAATGAAAAAACATATTAATGCAAATCGTGGACTTGTGATCAGACCGACAGTAGCGAAAAGAAGTCTGAAATGGTTTATGTATGGTGAAGTATCCTCAAGAGACGACTCTTAATCAACATAAAATTTTTAATACCTTTGAGTAAGCATGGAGGAAGAGAATGTTTTTTCTCATATACAAAACCTAAAGGATTGGTAATAGTTGCGATCATGTAGAATAAGTAACGTAGTAAATTTAAGAATAAGAAGATCACGTTTCAAAGATTGTTTCGATTTGTTTCTTTTCTTATTATATGAACTATTTCTATACTTTATTTTTTAAAAAGTATTATATTTTGATATTTACGCATTTCGTTTTATGTGTGTTGGTGCTGAACTATATCTTTTAAGCATTATTTAAGTGATCACTGTAATTTGTGATGCAATTAAAATAATTGTTTAAAATAACAAACGCAAAAGGGAAATTTATTATGATCGCGTTGTATATTCATAATATAAGAGAAAATTTGTATTATAAAACTGTATAGCTATTTTAGATGTCAATCTGGTACAATTATGTCGTTTTTTTATTAAATTTCTATTAAATTTTTTCGCTAGAGTTACACTTTTTAAAGTTACAAGTGTAATACAATTTTTAAATAAAAACGTCATCAGTTACAACGAATTTTAATATAATTTTTAAGAAACCTATTAATATCATTGAAACAACTGATCACATATTAAGAATCGAAAACAATGAAAAATAATTACTAATTTTTCATGAATGGAAGAAGAATTTTTTCCTAAAGGATTAAATATAGCAACCTAACCCTAACCTATATTATCTGCAATTGTTTTCAAAGTTGGTCTAAGCTTCTAATATAATAGTATGGATTATAATACACTAAAATTCCAGAAAAAGGTGTTTAAGCATAATTTTCAAGCCGTGATACGTAGTTTATACTAAAACTATCCTAATAATATCCCAATAAAACAATGATATCAGAAAAATGAGAACAATTCTCCCCACAGTAGCTTTTCCTATTTTTAAAAATGAACATTATCTACGTAGAGTAAAAGATACCTTTTGAAGCGAGAATAGAAGATTTCTTTTAATTCTTCTGAAGCACACTTGACGATTCAAGTAAGATTAGAATTCACGAAACCGCTGTTAGTAGTAAAATCTCCGCAAGAACTATATACCATTAGCTCTTCCTCATTCTTCACTCGTTAGTGATTCAATTATCCGCGTCGTTTGCGCAGATCAAAGAAAGGGCTTAATCTTTTCTACAACGAAGCCTTTCGTGGGCGGAGCATCGACACCGTTTTTTTTTGAGATAGCACCTTGCCGACTATTGTACCAATACACCGCGTCGCGTGCATACATAAAGGCATCGCGCTTATGCGCGCGCAAGATTGGTCCAGATTCCTACCCGACTCTTCGTTGTCCTCTCTGTCTTTTTCTCTCTCTGGTTCTTGGTGTTCTCCTGTTACGCTTTCGCGGCTCTCCTGGTACGTGTGCGTGCCCAGTGGCGCCGCCGGCCGGGCGAAATCCTAGAACCCTAGAACGACAGCCGAGACTCTGACCCCCCCGTTGTTCAGTCGTGGGTGCAGTGCGTGCGAGTGTGCAGTGGTTTCGGGAGCTGTTTCAACACCGGCGTGGCCTGGAGCGTGCGAGGTTAAGTCAGTGTCATATTGCCAACCCTCGTTGCCATTAATATACGCTTCGATCTTTGCTTATTTTTTTACGGTACTAACGTTTCTTATTTTTCGCCAATTTGTTTACTCTCGTAATGCATAAACTCCACGTTTTATGACAGAAGATTTTTACAAATCCAGGGATTAATGTTTCATGTGTTTAGTTCTTAACAGCGTTTGTCATTTGTGTACGCAGATTGTTCGAACAACGACACAGTTTACGTTTGCCAGGGATACAGTTTAGACTGTTGGCAATTAATTAACCACTTAACGAAACGTGATAAAAGCTTGATACCCTTGTGAAGCAACCGATGGTTCTTATCGGTCATAATTGTTTATCGTAAGTTTTCGTTATTTATTTTTCGTTCATCCCGCACGGTTAATTTCTTCAAAGGTTCATAAACCGTACATTCGTGCAACTGCGAAGCCCGCCATAAACTTTTTGTGTATATTGATGGCGATCGTGATTGAACGGAGGGAGATAGCGAGAAGTGTTCGCGAAGGATAAAGCACGGCGAAAATACACCGTGTGAAAATCGCGGGCGCGTTAATGATTTGGTGTTGGTGTGTTACGACGAACGAAGACGTCGCGCAGTTCTCGCAAAAGAAGGTCACCTGTTTCATGAGCTGCGATTATCCGAAATAAAATATCATTGACCTAGTTAGCAGCGCAAAAGTAATTAGACATTCAGACTAGTAGGGACCGTAGGTGAGAGTAGAGTGTTGATCGATCCTTCGTCATTGCCGAGCGCATGTACGTGATCCATCGTAAATTCACGTTTCCACTTGTGTATCGGTGCGTGCGGTGACACCGAGTTGAAATACGGCACGCGGGCCGCCCATCGGTGACTCGCGATGCTTAGAAGAGGAGGAAATTTAGTCTCGTACGGGTAATTCAAATCTCCAGCCAGCTACGAGACGGAAACGAATGGCCGGATTTTCTCCCTAACGACTAACGACATTCATATTCGTTAGCTTCGCTCTCTCGTTTTTCCCCCTCTTTTTTGCTTTTCGACGTTCGATGGCGGAATCTTGTTTCCCCTATCTGACTAGCGCACTATCGATCTATCATCGATATCGATCATGAATCTTCGATCTCCATTACGATGTTTCGAGTTGTGCATTGTGTCAGTCTTCTAGTGTTTTCGATAGTATTAACTACGTATTTCAGTTTCAAATTTTAAATTCGAATAACGGTACTTTTTACTTGCTTAATACGTTTTTACTTGTATTTTGCCAATATCAATTTTCATTGCTCTATTTTATGTATAAAAAGTCCAGTTGATAATTTGTCGATATCTTGTTTCCAGCAATGTGCGATTATGTTTACAACATATGGCAGACATTAAAATCTGTATACAACTATGAAGGAAGTGTATCAATAATATCAAATAATTTCCGACATTGCAAGATATTTTATGTGTGCATTTGTCATTGACATGTTTATTTCAATTAATCGAACTGTATGGCATTGCTGAAACACATTCTTCACCAAATGAAACAAGTGAAATTAGTTTAATCATAATTGATGCATCAAACGTCATGAGTTAACCGCATAGAAGCTCGGAATGTTCGAGATTATCTTCAAAGATTTATGACAAAGTCGCGAAGAGCGATAGATAATCTATTGGCAGAGGTAGTTATATCGAATACTTTGGTAATATTGGATACTTTGTGTATGTTTATAAGTAACAATAACAGTATACCTAATACTGTATTCCTTGCTGATATACATATATGTAATCGAACTGTAGATTTCAACATTTATATCTATGTTTAACGTAACATAAATATAACATCTTTATGAGTAGACTGAATGTAACATTTCTTATTCTTAAAAGATAAAACCTAGATAGACAATTGATTTATTAAATATAATAACAAGTATTATATTTTTGGTTTACTTACATGCTTTTCTTTATTACGTGCATTTTTTGGGGCCGTCAAATTTCCTACGAATGTATAAAAAGTCGCAGTCTACTTATGAGAAATAATAATATTATGAGAATATAAATGTATTATGTCGCTATTATTATCAGGAAAGATACGCTACCTGCGTTCAGGATCCGATACATATATAACATCAGCAACTATTCGTGATTGAATTGTAACGATATTGTCTTCTGTTTACGTGAATGTTTGTAGCATAGCGTAATTTGTGAGTGGAAAACGTACGAGTTGCCAGTTTGATATCCAAGTGGAAAATCCATTGAGCTAATCCTAATCCCAGCACCGATGAGTGGTTCACCTGGACTGATCAGACTACCTGCATAACGATCGTTGAAAATCGGATTAAATGCTGTCAGGTATAGGCTTGAATTTACATCCAGCGGTTATCTCGTTGAATTGCAGCGTACTTTCCTCTAATGGCCTTTCGCGAGATACGCGAATCAATCAGTTGCTTGCCAATGTACCGCTCGGAAATGATGGGTGCAACGTTTCGTTGTCCTTTAATAGCGACACTAGCGTTCTTATTTGCTTTCGCTTCTGAGAAATTAAGCACACCTTTCCGATTTCTACTATTCATTGCATTTGTATTTTGAACTTTAGTGGCAATTACTTTCGACTTTCCGTTGATTACTTTCGAATAAATGACGCATTAAAATGCAATTAAGCGAGTATTAATAACTAACCTAATTGCATACATAACTAGGATACTTTCTGGTGTTTACAGGTTACCACCTTTGTGCGTTACCAGTTCTTTTAATTACGGTGCCATGCGCGTTTAATTTAAAATTGTACTTTTATTCCTTTTAGTTAAATTTCCTGTATTCTTTGGATCATCTCTGACTAAATCATATTTTCCTATCATTGGAAAGTATCATAAATTTCAGGAGAATAAGAAAGAATTGTTATCGATAGGTACATATAATTTTTTATTTCAGTATTTCTCTAAAAATATTCTTGAAACGTTAAAAGCCTTTTTTTCGATAGAGATGGAAGTGAATCGAGTAAAATTCGAGGATCCTAACAGGATGAAGAGTCACTTATTTAAATTATCTGTATGAGTATGAATCGATAAAGTATTATCTATCAGGTTTGAAATGTCTGTCTCACGAATCTGTTACTCGTGCCATTAACGTTTCGTTCACCTGACATTATGGTTCTTCTTGAATTTCAAGACTGTCCGACTACAATTTCTTTTCGTAATGAAATATCGTATTTCGCTTTTACTTTTTGAAGAAGGCAATTCTTCTACCAATTTTCTTGTTCTTAATACCTCAGTCGGAACTTATTAAACGGATTAATCCAACTTTGAATAGCGACTTGACTGACTGTAGTTCGTTCTCTGCAGAACAGGTAATTAATATAATTGCGAATGGCGTCTAAGTTGATTCTAAGTATTATACCCCTGCGAAACATGGAAATTTTATTATGGCGCAGATGCATGGCAAATGGAAGTCTTGGAACTTAAAGTAAGCTGCACGACAGTATTAATAGCTTTTTAATGTCAGGGAAAATATGATTACCGCAACTCTCTTAATATACATTATCGTGGGACCGATGTGCGATAAATTAAGTTATTTAAATTATATTCCGGAGCGTGCTAGGCATTCAATTTTGTACCTTTCAACGATAGGTTAGCGAAGGCGCTTTTTGTCTTTCCTCTTAATCTAATTCGTCGCTTGACGTTTAACTTCTATAAAGTATAAAGGGAAATCCAACATTTTTTCTATGTATATATCGTACTTCATATTTCATTGAAACCAAGACATAAATATTGTACACGGTTATTTTTGCACTTATTATACTATATATTGCATAATTGTCTCGATTTATTTGCACGATAAATACTCCTAAGAGGTCCGAATTTGTTATATAATTACCATAAAATTTGCAATCATTTTGAGCCAGTTACGTCACAATTATTGAATGTTTAATGTTCTCGGCTTAATTACACCTGGGCGGTGTAACGTTCTCCTAAACTGGATGTCGTTAGCAAGTGTGACGTATCTTTACTTTGCTTAGGTGATGAGAATAGAATGGCCGTTGAGATCGTATTTGCCACTCTTACGTCGAATATGTTCTTCTAGTTGATCGAGATTCTTAATGAAGGTCTGATAGGCTAAGGCAAATACAATCTCTTCTCTATGAATTTTCTTAATACATTGGATGTAATTGTCTAAAGTTTAGACGACATTTGGAACTATATTTGTTTGTCGTTGCTGAAAGTACTCCTTTGCTGTCGTGTTAAATAATATTTTATGTTCTTATGTCGTTCTTACAACGTTTTACTAATTATATTTTTTAGAATTATATTATTTGTATTTTAAATAACGTGTTAAGTATTAAATCTGGTATTTTATTATATGAAAGAGAAACGAAGGGAAAAGAGATTATTATGTAAACTGTGGATATATTTATGCGAATTCATATTTGGAAGAACGCAATTAAACAAATGGTATCTACACAAAGATTAATTTCACGTATTATCATGAATATTATATGTACGAATATTGCAATATATTCTATGTGTTCTTGTACGCATAAAACTCTGCAGTCTAGAAGTTGTAAACTGTAACAATCTCACGTTAGTGAATTGTTTTATATTTCTTAAATCTGAATATAGTATGTGATATATTTCAAGTAGACGAGTTACTAAAAATATCCGGGACACGCTTTAGGTCTTAAAAATGCAAAATTTTAATTTCTGGAGATACAGCTATCAACGTTCTTCTCTTAGTACTTTTTGGGTTGCATGGTCGCACGAGAAGAATATATACTTCGACAGCTCTTGCCAAGTTTTTTTTTCACTTGTCCTGTACAAGATTTAAATTCAGTTTATCTCGTAAAATATGGCAATAGTATTTCTAGAATAATACTGCCGACTGTTCTGTTTTAACAAAATGAAAATGGTGAATGAATGGTGAAAATTATTGAATTGAATAAATTGTGTGTATATATGTATATATAATAAAATATGAAACAACTATTGAAATATATTGTTAGGGAAATACAAAGTGGCATAACAAGACAATGGATAAGCAGAGTATCGATACATTTTTGTGTTTTTCTTTTCATTCTAAAGGAATTCTATTGCGTTAAATTACTATTTATATTTATATTAGTTATATTAATTATATAGTTAGTTATACTACTTAATTATAGTATACCAGTTATATTAATATATATGTGTTAGTAAAATTTGGTTAAGTAACAAATGAATTTTTCAAAAATTCTGTGATATAGTAGTACAGTTTATTACAGCCATTTGGAAATCCATTCTCCATTGCAAAATCTGCGCTCGAATATGTAACAAACATTCCTTATCGATTATTGTTCGATTCTACCATATTAGACAAGTATGTTTCACAATCAAATTTCATTTCATTAGATATAGAAAACCAATGAAATGTCTTACTTCATAGTTTGAAGATATCGATGCAGCTGATATGGTTGGAGTATCTACTATTTGAAAGCATTGAAATTCGCGCATTTCATGGATACTTCAATACATTCCATGGTCAGATTGATCGTACACCTATCATACCAGTACAATCTGGAATCATGACAATTCAGATAATTGGAGAAATACTCTACAGCATCGCATCTATGCCTACCTGACATTTTCAACCGCTTTAATAGCTTAACGCTGGTGAAACATTTTTTCAAGTACAATTTAGAACATTATCATATGGCTTACAGCTATTTTCGTTTTAGTAACACTATAGCAGATTTTTCATATACAGCTTATATCTAAATTGCTCTAATTATTTAAATATATGTTATTCGTAGACTTCCGAAAATTCTTGAAAATCTAATTAAGTATCTTTAGAAAGGCTGTTGAAAATGATTAGCTCTTTAGGCTAATTTTATGCGAGATGTAATTTATGTCATTTGTAATGAAATAATATATAATAATGTTCACAAATGAACAAGGCACATATTTCAAATTTCAGAACATGTAAACAATATAATGTAACATGTAACAATATTAATTATGACTGAGGTAAACGAACAAAATATTTAAGACTTAAAACCTTTCTTCAAACTTAAAAGACTTGTCGTAGGATCCAAAATTCAATTGCAGATTCAGCGTTTGTTTTATGTTGTTCTTTTATGTAGTCTAAATTGCGTTAACTTTTATACATGTAGTCATGTAAATAGTGGTAGATGTTAATAGAAAGTGAGATGAAAACAATACAAAATATATTTACGTTTGTCATTTACAATAATTTTAGCTTTCTTAACTTCTTTTAACTGTAATATTCGTAATAGTAATCGTCTCATTACAATAAAACAGCAACAGAAATTATCGTTTCGATGCATTATCGTAATAGTACTACAAAATCAGTTATTTCACATTCGGTTATTTTTATTTGTATAAAATTAGGATTTTTAGTATACCATACTCGTATTATACCATATCCAAAAACTAGTATGAGTCAACAAATGCGGAATCTTCTTGTACTTAATCTTCTACATATAAGCTGAGACTTGTTTGTGTAAAAGAATAAACGTAGTTGATTACAATTTCTCTTTTTAATTTCAAAAGTAGGGACCAGCAATTGCAATACAGACGTACATTACTTGGTATCAGTACAATGATGTATTAAATAAAACACAAACAGTATGCAGAGATAAGCAAATAGAATTTTATAAATATTCATAATATCTTTCTCCTATGGTACATTGGTAGACTTACACAAATTTATTACTATCTACATGATAATATTTTAACAACGTTAAATGTCATTGTACGTATTCATTATTGGAATTATAAAAATAAAATATTGTTACATTCTTTTACATATACCTAATGCAATATAACATTCAATTGAGATTTATAGCAAAATAATCGGTTCAGATCTATAATAAAATAATTCAATTCAGATTTATAAGAAAACAAACAATTTATATTTATAAGAAAACATTCGATTCAGGTTTATAACAAACTATTCAATTCAGATTTCTACATCGATCACATACGTTATAAAAGTATCGTATCGTTAATATTGTCTTTACAGCGATATTTTCAAATAAAAGATGTTCATTCAATAATTATTTCTGAAATATTACAATTCCATTATCATTAAGAATTCACAAGTTTATACGCGTTTTATTTGATACCTTTTACAGATTCGTGGTTCGTGGTTAGTGCAGTCGAGCAGGAGTTCGATAGGGACGAGTGTGTTAGCCATAGTGGAGGAAGCAGGGGTCCATGATGCCCCCCATAATAGGGGAAACACTGCGCGTATGGTTCCTCTCGGCGTTGGTGGTTCACGGTGCTGTCGCCGGCAATCCAGACGCGAAACGCCTTTACGACGACTTGCTTTCTAACTATAACAAACTAGTGCGCCCTGTTGTGAATACCTCGGACGTACTACGTGTGTGCATTAAATTGAAACTTTCGCAGCTCATCGATGTGGTGAGTACAACTATTTGTTCTATTTGTTTTGTTTACACCGTGATCTGGCGGATAATAGAAGGGCGTCGTGGCATCTGCGAAATTAGTTTCCCGTGTAATTTAACGAACGAAAAACGGGGATCGTTTTGAAGTTTCTGAAGCCTGCGATTATTATCTTATTATAGAAAAATGGCAGATTAAAATGAAATAAATTTCCGTAGATATAACATCAAATTTATCTCTTAAGAAGTTATATTTATGATTTTCTAATACTTCTAAAATACAGCTGTTTCTTTTTAAATTTTACTCAACCCTTTGACCGAAACTTTAATTTTACTGGCGTCATCTGCACACTGGATCGTTTACGTTCATGTTTAGAGATTTGAAGGCTCTTGTGTTTTTAAATATCCCTTAAAACTCTTCAACATTCTTCCAGGTTTCTAGAATATCGTCCCATAATTTCTACTGCTATATGTTACCTTAATTTATTTAAGCAGAGCACAATTTAAATGAAGATATAGGAAAAGTAAGAAATTATTTAAAATTATTGTCAGAAGCAAACCAGTACGTGGATGGAGGGTTAAGATAATTCACTTTTTATACGCGCCAAGTTAAATGTATTTTTCTTGAATAGCGAGGCTCGTCTGTAGCTTCCCCTAGTCCCATGCGCACCTCTTAATCTGCAGAGAGACAGGAAAATGTATGTATTTTATCTGGATTGTTTCTTCGGAAGAAGTGGCCTTTGTACTTCTTACACTTTGCCGGTTTATGGCACATTTCATCACGGTATGCGCAGTAATCGCTCGTCAACGAGATTGAGGGGAAGCAAGGGACCGTGACGGTACGCCGTGGTTAAAATCGCACGTAGTAGTGTGCTCGTATTTGGGCTAAAGTGGATGGATACGATTATTCGATTACATGGTTATTATGTCGTTACTGGAAATGAATTTAGTCGTCGATTGTACATACATAGATATATGTATCTAATCGATGAAGACTAACAAGTTATACGCATTGAAAATTGGTTAGGAATTACGCGCTATTATACGTTGCATGTTACATAATTTCCTTTTTGGAAAATATTTCTTTTACTCGCTTATGTGATTAGCACTGGTTATGTGAAAACGTATCGTGGATGATTATAACTAAACAAATCTTCCTTTAGATTATTTCATAAATAGTAACTGTGGTCGTAGGTTTGTGAATTTATAAAAATTACATGATATTATTGTAACAATTTTATCGTATCTATATATTCATTAAAATTAGAAATTATAAAATATTATTTGTTTTATATATAGTATAACAGAGTATTCAATTGAGATTTCTACATTGAATTTGTGCATAGTTTACGCAATATATTGGAATTTTTAGTAAGTCATTTTTAATATTAAATGGAAATAATACTGATCTTCCATAGATTCCTTAGTCCTGCATTCGAACTTAAAAACTTATAATTACTACTAAACTTATTAATAAACTCGGTTTCTATTAAATATATTGCGAGGAATTACATTAAAAGCGAAAGCAAGAAATCAATTTTAGCAAGTTATATTTGAGCAATAAGATGTCTGTACCGTGTTCATTTAATGTATTACCGAAGCATTATTTGAATTCAGCATGCAAATGCTTTCGCAATCAGTTGATTAAATAGACAATACAATTTCAACATTATTTCAAACGCGTATACATTAATATAATATCGAAGCGAATACAGAATATATTGACCGTTATTGTGGTTTAAATTTGGCAAACTGTTTAACATAAAAACGAAGCAGATGATCTTTCGTGATTTCTAAAAGCATTAATTAAAATTCTCGATATCTTTTCGATCCTCATTTTCATTTTGAATTTGTCAGAATATTCTAACTGCGTAATCTTCTAAATTATATTTTGTCATAACAGAAACGGAAGATCGGTTATTTCAATCCTATGCGAAGCATCTTGACGCGAAATGTACGTTTCCATAAAAATTTCCATTACCTTTTTGAACTTTTTGACAAGTAAATCTGTTGATTAGATTCTTTTCGCCTTTTATAGAATCAGAGTAGGTTACAGCTATTTCACCTCGCGCTCAAAAGAATATGTAAATGGATAAGCGCCTCGCGTTGAAGGTTTAAAAAGTTACACCCTCGAGGAGTATGAGTTCACTACCTAGGGGTTCTATGTTACCTAGGGCTCCTCTTGATCTTCAGAGTCTTAATTGCGTCAAGTGTTTGATTGACAACCTGCAGAGGTACTGGTCTTTATTAATTAAATACTTCGTGTGATAAATTGTCTTTTGTAGGCACGTGATGATTTATTCTGCCTTAATTTGCATTTAATCATTCACTAACTTTTCACTTTTCACTTTTTTTATCGCCATTCGAAAGTTTTAGAACAGCTATTATGTTGGCTCCAAAACTGAAAAGAACAAACCATATAATAAAAATATCAGGACGTGAGATTTCATCTAATTTTTATATTATTGTATATTTGCGATTCTTGAAATATGCGCGCAATTTAAAATTTCTATTCTACACCAAGTATTAAAATTTTATTAAAATTCAAATTAGAAGATTCCCCAAGACTTTTGAGCGAGAGTGTATGTACATCTTTAAATGATTTTTGTTAGAAAAAGTCTTTTCCACAAGCTTCATCTTATATTATTAAACATGTAATTCGTTTGGACGACAATAATGTCATTATCACTTAAATGTTGTTATGGATTGTATCGAGAATTCACGGTATCGATAGGAAAGTATTCCTCAAAATTAATAACATCGTTTATGCTGTTCTTTTATTCAACGTTCTTGTCAATATCCATTATACTCTTATTTCTTGTTGAAGGAATTAAGTTCGCAGATTATCTAGATTGCATGATCTCTAGTATTCATTTCGTAATAATTTTCCACTTGAATACGATTTTCATAATTCACGGAGATGAGATGCTGCATACCAGAGGTTTTATCCAGGTTCAATCGACAGGCGGAATTCAACCTATTTAATTCTTCCGATGCAGCATCCCGAATCTTACAGACCAGTTATATCCACTATGAATTAGTCAAATCTGTCTGAAATGTCAAATAGTTGTAGTAATTATTTACATATTTCATGATAAGAAGTCTATTTAAAAAACATGAAATTATCTCTGATATTGGTTCTTTAAAATTTTGGGTAAATTTGGGCCATCGACTCTTGGCGTTATTTACAAATTTCATGATAGGCAGTCTATTTAAAATATATAAAATTATTTCTGATATTGGCTTTTTAAATTTTGTATGTTTCAACATTAAAACCATCCGTTTCTCGTATTAATTTTTCTATTATTGTTACAATTTTCTATTATTGTTACAAAATATAGAATCTGTGAATTGTTAAAAAGAAAACTATTTGTCATATATATCAAACTATCACACGGTTATTAATATTTATTGTAATATACGTAGCAACGATTTGTTTGCAAACTTTAGTATAGTAGTTATATATGCAATGTCAATGAAATAAAAATAAATACACTTTTTGAAAGATTTTTATATGAAACTAAATAAATTTCCTTTAATCTCTTCATATTTTTTATCCACGAAATAAACGTAGCTCGTTCTCTTTCTCTCTTCGAAAATCGAACCAAGACATTAATATTGGAAATCTATAGTTCATACGCGTCAGCAAATAAATTAAATAAAATTTAAGGAAGATCAATTTTCCCAAATAGTATCAAGAATTTTATTTTTGGGAGATACAGATTTATTAAAATATGTGTGAAATACTAACACGAGCTTTATCTCGTTTTCATTTATTGATAGGTAGAAATATTCTCTGAACAAATATAATACCTTCTAGTAATATATCTTATCGTTGCTAAATAGACGTTAACACAAGATTGCTTCAATTTTAATATCAACTATATATCAATTACTTATGTGCAAGTATATCTTAAAATGTTTGTATACGTATAACTTCGTAATAATGTATCATTAACGAAGACATCGAACTTTATTACAAGTAATTAATACAGTTAGCGTACGACGTTAACGAACTGATATTTGATATCGTTTTAACGACGTAATCTATAACGTAAAATTACTTAATTGTTTCTCGATGTCACCTACTGAAGAAGGGGATCCTGAGAACCATTAATGCGCTGAGGTGAAAATACAGAAATTACAGACCTTCTGTAAAGAAATAAGTTCGAGGGGAAGTCGTGGAATTATTTCCATTAGCATGTACTGGTTGTATGGGTGGCGTGGCAGCAAATTGCGTGGCTGTATGCATATATACATTCTTCGGGTAGATTGCGTGGTTTCTCCATGCTATTACGTCGATTTGAGGAGAGTATTCGCACGAGTTCTGATAACTTTCCTTAGAATTTTCCTTTCTATCGAACCTTGCACGAAATTAGATTCATTCTTGGCTCCATTGGATAACTCTGGTATTTTAATGGACGACTCTTTATTATGTAATTTAGAAACATTTTTTTTAGAATGATATTTATGGCATAAACAAGAAAATACATATTGTTTGATAGAGTAGTTACACTATCTTGGTTTTACTTTTTAATTCTGGTAATAACGATATTCTTCTAAGAGCCAGAAGCCTAACGGTTTATTTTTTAATCTGATCATGCATCATGATAGTGTTTCCAATGACGAAGTTATTGATTCGGTAGTTAAACGTTCTATTTTGTCAAAGTTTTGAATAGATCAATGTTTATTTAGACTTAAGTATAATTTTTGCACGCGATCTTGTTTACGATAAACGTCTATTATATTATTTATCTAATTATACTTACTTCATTGAAAACGTTTTTATTGGAAAAGAAACGATTATGTTATTATGCAGATTGGCTATGTAGATTCTTAAAAATAAAAATAATTGTTTTGAAAATATATCGTTCTCACGTCGTTCTACGAAAATGATAGTTTTGTATGGTACCGAATATGATTTTCAAAATGCATTAAAATCAGTTCTATTCTTGCTTTGACTCTTCAGAATAAAGAGTAGTTCATAGAGAAATAAAGGAGAAGAACTCAAGGAGGAGAGAATAATTGTACTAATTGTTTATTGGAAAATTATTATCACACCCTCGATATCGTCTCTACGACGATACTATCGTCTTCAAGCAACTCCTCTCAAAGGCAAATTCTTTCAAGTCAACTTCCCAACGTTAAACTTGTGATTATCTTCAAATCCGATCAACTTATCTTCGCTCTTAAGAAGTAGCTTCTCCCCATTAATTTCATGTGCAGCGTGCTAAGAACATCATCGCGTCACGTAATCTTTGTAGTGTATTGATGATTGGTGACGACGCTCTTCTATAATACGGTTAAATAGCTTTATACTTGTTTTAGTTTCATTTGTAATGGGACATGTATATAAAGATATACATTATTAGCTTATATAAAATTATACAATGATATATATGTATATGTATACAAGAGTATCCCAAGTTTAAACGATTAAAATTCACCAATATGTTCCGAAATATATTAAATATATTATAGATATATAATAATATATATGTATATATATGTATATAATATTATATAATAATACATAATATATATAATAAATGAAATGTATTATAGAAATAATGAAGAAACGTAATATAAACGTGGATACGTACACGCTTTCCACTATTATTAATAATTATTTAATGCGCATTGAATGAATGTATTATGAAAATAGAAAAGTCTTGAAGCACTGGAATATAATTACAATGGCACAATCAAGTACACCAGTTCTCTTGCGTTAATGAATAATACACACGACATAATGTTAGTTTAACATAAGCCACAGTAACGTTCCATGTAAATTATGTTTATATTATACCTTAATGAGTGTAGCTGTTAGTTACGTTAATTCATTGTTGTGAACACAATATTTTACTATAAGCTAGTTATCATTTGCTTCAAAGGCATTAACTTATTAATATTACAACGAAATTTTCAAACTGTGTATTATACGAACCATATATGGCATTTTTGGATATTAATTTAAATCGTAAAAAAACAGATAAAAATTACTCTTGAACAATGTGCGTTAATATCTGATAAATATTTCATTATACATAATTTTACATATTATACGTAATTTGTCTAGTGATAGCTCGGTTATAATATTAATTAGTTGATTACTTAGAAGAAAATGTTAAAATAATTTGTAGTAAAGCATTGTACTTGTAATTTCGAACTAAGCTTCAGCGAACACTCTTTTGCGCTTGTACGGTTTGTTCAAATATAATTTTTAACAGAAAAAGCGGAAACGATGGTAGATCTCTTTTTAAACGTTTTCATTTTCTGTTCACTGTAAAATTGTGCTGTTATCGTTGATTCCTGCGTGAGATGCCCACTTGCTACGAGGGGAACTGATTGGGTGCTAAAGCGCTTCTAAAGCACACGAAATCTAGCGTGATCCGGGTTTCAACACGCGAGGGATTACAGTTTGATCGAATCGAAAAAAAGGAAAAAAAACAGCAGATATCGAAGTACGAGTAATCGTAAATACTGTAAAATCAATTCTTATAATGCTGCGATGTAAATTTTCAATCACAAAACGATAATACGTTTGCAGTGTACTATATATTAATAGCATATTAACAGATAAAAATCAAATTTTTTCTCGCTAATTGATAGAATATTTCGTGTCTATTTATTATATAACCATTTTTTTTCAATGATTAAAAGGCAATTTATGAATATTTTTATAACGATAAAGACCAATAATTTTAAGTATGTATATAATTTATTTATGTAATTATAGAAAAGTTAGAAGGCCGTAAAATTTGTGTACTTTTTGTGGATTTTTAAATTGATTAACAATAACTTGCAGAGCAGGACATAGTGAAAATGCAGAAAGTTCTGTAGTTCACAGAGAAATTGGTAGTTCACCTCAAAGTTTCCCTACTTTGTATTTCAAGTTTTGCAGAAGTTTCTCCGTGCTATTGTCATTTGAAATTTGCATATTTCTTTACTTTAATCCCGCAGCGATATTTGATTCGTGTGGATTTAAGGGAGAACCAGACGTTAAAGATTTCGAAATCACCGCATTAAAAAAATGTTTTTCTTATATTAGACATATAGTAATTCAATTTATGAGAAATATATCGAACCGGGAGAAAAAGAAGTTGAAGTAAAATATAAAATCGAACTTTCCAACTCAATGTACATTCTAACAAAAATGAATTGTTGATAAACGTAGATTTATGAAAGTCTATAACACAACAGCGTTATTCAATTTTCCACTTATAAAATAATTGTTGACGCATCATTAACTGTAGCTTTAATCTAGCCCAGCAGGCGGTTTATTGAATTATTTATTCAGTATACTTTACGGCTACTATTAATGGAATCATGCTTACATTGTAGGAGCAGAGTAAAGTATAATCTGCTAAAATGTTGTTTCATTATTTTATGCTCAATATTTGCAATTAATTCTTATGCAAACGATATTTTCATCCAAATATCCAAAATATTTATAAGCTATCTTCTTACGGTGGAACTAAACCTAATTTTGTATTTAGATACAATTAACGTAGTTTATAGTGCAATAAGAAAGGCGAAGAATATGCATTAAATGTTGAATATATGTGTTGTTCCACTATTTATGAAATATCGGGAAAAGGAATGATTGTACATGAAAAATAATCGAAAATATAGAAAGAATTTTTTAGATTTGAGGCTTTGTTTTCAACGAAATCAGCTTCGAAAATTTATTTGTTATACGTCAATTTGGCCACTTAGTAATTGAATATAGTTGCAATACTTTTCGTCTTAATATCGATGTTATCTATTAAATATACATATTTATAATATCTTTTTTCTGAGACAATTGAAATGAAACTTCAGATTCAAAAATATTTCTGTCAGCGTTATGACAGAATATACTATCAATAAAAACTGGGATTCTTATCACTATTATGTTAAATATTTTTCATTAAAGAAATAGAACCTAAGCAAACATTCTGTTCATACTTTATTACAATTTTATTCTAAATATTTTCGTGCATTTCAATTTTTCTTGAACGCGTAAGCACCCGCAGTCTACTTATAATTCTAACTGTTTGAATACGCGGGACGATTTAATTTCTCAAGGCCCGAGCAATCAGGAAGATTCATGAAAGTTAGGGAGGAAACATCTTAAAGAAATTCTGTTTGATTTACGTAGGACATACCGATCTACATACGTTCATATACAGCTATTTATGATGTTGACGTAGGTATTGCGAAGCTGGCTCCATTGTCAGGATGATCTATCATAAGCACTGTACTCTATGCACAACCCTGGCAATATATGGGCCAGGTATTCGCAACACAAATGTGTCGCTCGGGTTGAAGTTCTCGAGGACTGCCGATTGAATTCCATTAGAGTTCATTAAGGCGTATTACGAAGTCCCCGCGGTGAGGTGATCCATCGATCCTAAATCGAGCAACGAAGTTTATTAGGAGAAGCAAATAGTTGAGAATTTAAGGTTGAAATTTAGGCTTCCTGTAGGAGTGGTCATAATGGTTGCTACGATTTTTTACACTCTATCAATGGCCCGATAAAAAAAGCTCTTTATCAAAAGTTAGATGCTATCGAATAGCTAGTCGACTATGAAATCGTCGAACAAAATTTTTGTTAAATAAAAGAGTCATCTGCACTTTTTTAAATAGCATTGTATAATTCTTTCTAGCCAATGTACTATATTCGAAAACACTGAAATCTACGGATACGAATTTCATTGAATAACTTGATTAGGAAATAGTCTTTTGAAATTATTATTGATAAACTTCTTTACGGACGTCTAGCCATAGGTCTAGAAACAATGTGATTCACTGATAGTTTATAACTAAGTGTAGGTAATATGTGCACTTACACGTTAGAATTTATTCGCGTTCCTATTTTTGTAAATATATGTGGAAGAATATTTTGATAGATTTTCGGATTACAGAGCTGAAACTTTAAGGAAATGTAATACTAAAGGTAATTTGATATTAATAGGAGCGTTAGCGAACGCGTCATGGAATTCTAGAAAACTTTCCTGTAATTTTAGGTCACATAATATAGTCGCTGCCATTTTCAGCACATTATGTCTACTGCATAGTACTGCAGTGTCCGAAATTCGACATCACAGAATTTTTACAAAATAGCAAAGTAACGTTAAATTTAGTGATACTAAATTTGTGAATTAATTTAATGATTAATTCTTTTCTAAACAATTTGCTCTGTTTTCTTTTAATTGTGAAATGCATCTGAAACAAGCTTTTAATAAATAATATTTGCGAAAAGGTATTAAAATTTTAATTTAGGCATAACATTCTACGATATATTTTCTAGTTTCGATGGATGTGTATTTATCAGTGTGTATTTTAACAAAAAATTATGCTTAGAAAAAATGTATTCTCAGATACGAATAATGTATTCAGTGGCAATATGGCCTGATTTTCAATTGATCAACAAATTTCCAAATCATTCACTCATTTCTCTATTAATGCGACAAAACAAAGAGCTGTTGATAAAAAATACACATATTTACGCCATGTGCAGCCAACCTCTATATCTTCGACAGGGTTGAACTCATTCCATTAAATTGTTATTGTACTTAATCGATTCAACCATAAATTCATGTCCCCATTGATCTATATTGCTTCAATTTACATTTTCGAATATTTGTATAATTTGAGAGAAGATGAATAGTACTTGGACGCGTATACCGATAATAACAGTATAGATTTATATCCAAAAAGATATTTTATGAAAAGAGCCCTAGAGATTTGGAATATGTTTACAAACTTTCAACAATCTTTTAATAAATAAAGCTACTTTACAATCTATTTTTACTTTTCGTAAGATATTAATCATTCTTGGGACGTCGCAGAATTCTTCCATGAAATACCATCAGTATTATAAGTAACTCATTAAATATGTGTAACAAATATACAAAGCAACAACAGAATTGTTTACCGTTCGATAAAGTAAAAGAACAGATTGGCGATGTTTGATATAGTTTCATTTTAAAATGTTACCTGCTCTTCTGTTACGACCGTTCGCGGAGAGACGCGGTCGCTAGGAGAACGCGTCAGCGAGAGGCGTAAATTCTCGCTACGATTATGTTAATCGACGCCGCGAAATAGTCGTTCCCCTGTTTCGATTAGGATAACAGAGGTGGTTTAATGAATGTAACACTGTATTAACAGGTTAACATAGAACAATATATTTTACAATAATATGATGAAGATGTTACAGAAATTTGACTCAACTTTGCGATATCTCTAGATAAATTCGTTTGCTCGTCAGATTTGTCGAAGTGTCACGTTTGACTCGTCAGAAGGAACTGAACGCCCTTCGATTATTCCTTTGTCTCATTTGGAGGACGACCCCCACTATGCTCGGGGCACGCC